GAGTGGAGGGGGGGAGAGCAAGGAAAAGTCGCAGTAAAGTCGCGCACAGCCGAGACCTGGGAGACGCACGGAAAGGCGTTGCCAAACCAGTGAAAACAAGTATGTTTTTCAAGGCCCTTCCCCCCCCAGCAGAACTCCAGCCCAGCTGTACTGGACAGTCCCTCCCAGCCGAGCTCCACCGAGTGCCCCCTGCCCCTGCGCTTACCTGACTGGGCCTGTGCACCCCTTCCTCCCCTCCCCTCAGAACCGAACCTTCCTCCCAGCCCTCCCAGCCTCCTCTCCCCTCGTATTGTCACTGGCGCTGTGTGCTCAGCTCCCAGACTGTGGTCTCCTGCAGGGTAGGAGCTGTGCCCTATTCCTCTTGGTGTCTCCCTCACCCTCACTGCGTGAAAGGAGCTGAGATCGGGAGCGTTCTCCTTCTTAGAGATTCAGTCAAGGGCATGAGCTGGTTGAGTCCTTTGGGCACTGAGGGGGTGTCAGCTTACTTCTGGGTAGGTGAGACTTAGCTCTCACCATGGTTTTAAATGCTTGACCCACTTACCGGGCTGATGCCTGGTGAGAGGGAAGGAAGATTGCTGCCGTTGACTTATTTGTGACTCGAGGGGAAAGCTGAGGGTCCTCATTCAGGCCAGTCAGTGTGGTCTTTACTCACAAGATTCCCTGCCAGTGTCCTTCCAGGGGTGTTCGCCCAGAAGGACTGCTCTGAAGTTCAGGAGCAAATAGCCGAGCAGACCCAGTCGTCCTGGTTGACCCCTCAACCCCATGGTGACCGAGCACCTTCTGTTGGCCAGCCCCTGAGCCAGGCTTTGGGCAGACTGCCCACACAGGTTTACCACTTGTGTTTTTGGAGAAAGACAGACTTGGATTCAAAATTGGGCTCAACCACTACAGTCCCTGAGGTCTTGGATGAATTACTTCCGCTCTCTGAGCTGGGCCTTTCTTCATCCTCATACTCCTCCTTCACAGGGTGGTTGTAAGGTTGAATGAGGAGGTGGGTTGTAGCTTTTCTCAGCCAGGGCTCCTCAGCTGGGCCGCAGAACACAGAAGCTGACTGGAACTACTGTTTTCTCCATTTTCCCGAGGGTGGAACATCACCAGGACTGTTTTAATACACAGGAAAGAAGGCAGGTCATTGCAGACAGTGGATGGCTTGGGGCAGAGGGGCTTGACTCTCTCGAGGAACCAGGTTGAGAAAGGCTGGTAGAACCTTCTTTTCTGGTGGCGTGACACAGTGGCCAGTTCTGGGATGACTAGCAGTAGCATCACTGTGTGACGAGCCTGCACATGGTAGACGCTCTGTACGTATCAGCTCCCTTGTCTGTCCCTCCTCCTCCCTTGCTCTCTCACTGGGCCTCAGCTTCTCTTGAAACCACACACATCTGTCAGAGAGTGCCTAGGTCTCCTCAGGTGGAAAGCACCCATGTCTCCGAGAGTGTTCCCGGCTCCTTTCCCCAAGCAGAGTCCTTCTAGGCCCCGGGGCTGCCGTTCTGCTGCAGGTGGCCCTCCCTTCTCTGTGCCTTGGCACTTGGGCAGCAGCTCGTAGAGAAAGCAGAGAAGGGCCATCAGCCTGCAGTCCTTATTCCAGACATTTCCTGAGCTTCCTCTTGCATCAGGCCCTCCACCAAGCACTAGGAGCCAGAAGTATGAACTAGATACAGAGGCACCTAGGAACTGCAGTTTACAGCCTGCTAGAGGAGACAGGATTTGTTTGTGGTGAGCCTGATTAGGGGCCCAGGGCCAACTCCTTAAGATTGTTGAGAAAAGAAGAGGGGTTAGTTTGGACAGGGTGATCAGTACCCCCACCCTCCAGAATCCTCTTCTGGCTAACCTTGGTAAGAAAGTGACATCTCTTCACAGGTATGGAGGCTGCCTATTAAAGGTGTACACCTCAGCCAAGTGGGTATGCTGGCTCCTGACACTGCTTACCAGGGCTGCCCCTCTGCCCTTGTCCTGTAGTGACAGACTCCAGTAATCCGTCCCTTGGATGGTGGATCTGATTTCAGTGACTTCAGCTCACTTACTGGGCTGTGACTTGATGTCTGTGGAGTCTGAAAGGGGAACAGATACTGAGCCCTAGATCTTTCTTGCAGGAAGCCAGCCCAGTAATTCTGGGAGAAATCTGCTAGTCGTTCAGCCAACAAAAAACCTCAAGGCCAGTTCCTCCAACTGGCCTCTCGAGCCTCACCTTGTCACTTTGTCCAAATTGCAGGAGCCACCTGGCAAGGATGGTGTCCAGCAGAAAGGACACAGCCACATTGCCTCTTTGCAGAGGAGACTGGGTGGGGTGCAGGGGAGACAGGAAGTGGGTTGAGGCTGTGTGTCCAGCTCTGGGCCAGGCCCTGGGGCCCTGCGGACACAGGCTTGCCCTCTAGGGGCTGATGGCCTTAGTGCGAAGATGACAGAATGTGTGAAAGAGGCACGTTCAGGTTCTTCCCTGGTGGTCCAGTGGCTGAGACTGAACTCCCAGTGCAGAGAGCCTGGATTCGATCCCTGGTCAGGGAACTAGATCCCACATGCTGCAACTAAAGATCCTATGTGCCACAACTGAGATCTGGTGTAGCCAAGTAAATAAACAAATATTTAAAAAAAGAGAGAGAGAGAGAAAGAGGCATGTTTAGCGCTGACCCTTGGCTCTATAAATGTTCAGATAAGGGAGCCAGTCCTGCAGGGTGGCGAGTATCCATTTCTATGTCTGAAAATTGAGGGCTGGTTCTCTGTGAGTCTGTATACCATGAACACTGTGTTTAAGAATCCAATCTGTGGAGGCTTGCTGCTGGAGGGGAAGCTGGGCAAGAAGGCCAGGAGCATCTAGATGAGCCATGAGGAACTAGGGGTGAGGTGTGTCAACCGGGGAGCCTCGGTGAGGCTTTGTAACGGGGCCTTGGCAGAGTCTGGGGGCAGCTGTTTCTCCCAGAGGCATCGCTGTTGGGCTGGGCCTGAGCCCCGTACCTGTTCTGTATGGGGAAGGGAAGGGAGTACGAGTGTGCAGGAGCTGCGTTAGGTGCCCAGCCCGGCCCCAGGCCAGTACCTATAGAGAGGATGGCCAGGAGCCCTGTGTGAGGCCCTCAGCCTGAAGGGTTGGCCTCTGGGAAAGGGAAGGTTGAAAACTCGGGGAAAGGCTGTGGTCTGAGGACATTTTTGCATTTTTTGAAAAGAATTTGAGAAAAAAAATTTCCGAAAACATTTTCTTGGCGTTTCAGCTGAGTCCTTCATGTCTGTATTCCTCACAAGTGTGCATGATTTAATAAAATCAGCACTGGCAGCCAGCAGCATGTTTTTGTTCCAGAACCTTAAATTGTCCTTTAGAAAATGAGAGGAATAAATGCTTTCTGTGAAATAAAAATAACAGAACAGTATGGAAAGGTTATAAAGTGAAAAGTATCCATTTATACCATCTTATTTACCCACCCTCCCCCACCCGCTTCCCCCACCAAAAAAACAAACCCTCCCTGAAGGTAAATACTTTAAATCAGTTTATTTTATTTTTTAAAAACATTTTTAACTTTGTTTCAAAGTTAAACTCAAGACACATTGACTTCATAAGAAATCCACTGAGAAATGTTTTTCTAGGCTGAATACCTGTTTCCCCTTAGTCTTCTCTAACAGAGCATGTACATGTTAATTACTGATATTTTATAATCACTGCTGGCCCACCCCACGTAAACTGTGTGTATGATATTCTGAATGTTCTTAGTTACACCCTAAATTTCACTAACTGCAGAAGATTTTCTGGGATAACCTGTCACTTGAATTCTTTTGCTACTTTTGAGGGTGAAATCCAAAGAACTCTTAAGTGAGTGTCCTCTAGGAGGTGGGGGTTATTTTGTAAGTGTTAGCAACTGGTACCTGGGCTGTGCTGATCCCATCTGGCATCTCTGGGAGACCACCTGTAAAACCAGAGAATCATTTGATTCAACAGCCAACCAAGTGACTCAAAACTGAAAGTTAAATTTAAAGAAAAAAGTAATTTAGAGGGGAAAAGGCAATCAAGGCAATCCTAAAGGAACTCATTCTAAGCAGTCAGTCAGTGTGTGTGTGGCCAATGGATCTGCACGCCAGATCCGTTCAGTGCAGGCTGGTGGGTCCCAGATGACTCCCCTTTCCAGGAGACAGTGATCTGAAGGAGCTGAATCTGGCAAGTGGCCAGTACCAGTAAAGAGCAGCCATAAAGTGCTAGGGACATTTATATTCAACCCCGCTCTGGGGTCAAACCTACAGGTTCCAGAATCCCCTGATGGTTCAGTGGTTAGGACTCAGTGCTCTCACTGCCAAGGGCCAGAGTTCAATCCCTGGTCAAGGATGTAAGATTCCACAAGCTATGTGGTACAGTTTTTAAGAAAAAAAAAAAACAACCCTGCTGCTTCACTTGGGTCCCACAGAGCCGTCAGGTCCATTCAGAAGCAGACTGTAACCTAGCAGGTAGACTTTCCCACTTGCTAACACATCCTTTCACTTTGTTTTACTTCAGGCTATATACTGCTTGGACCAGTTTTCAGGCTAAATGATTTTAAATCTCCTTTCTTTTTGTGGGGGGGGGGGGGGCGGAGCGGGGCGTGGCACGCTGCATGGCTTAGGGAATCTTAGTTCCTCAACCAGGGATTGAGCATGCCCCCAGCAATGAAAGTGCCAAGTCCCAGCCATTGGTCCACCAGAGAATTCCCTAACCATTTTGAATTTCTCAAGGGCTCCAAGGGGAACACCTGTGGTGTCTTTTCCTGGGCCTCAGAATGTAAACCGTGCTCAGAGTCTCTTCTGGGAAGTCACCTGGGCTGAAGCCCTCCTTTTCCAGGGAGGGAGAAATGACTGAAGCTGTGGTATGGCAGGGGCTGGGCACAGGCACCTCGAGGAGAGGCTCTCCAGGACTCCAGGAAGGGCCATCAACAACCTTACTTCAGCCAGGGATCCCCGGGAGGGGCCAGGAGACGGCGATCTCCCTCCCCATCACCAAGACTCTCCTTTTTCCCCAGCGTCTGATGATGACTCTTTTTTCACCTTCTCAGGATCCCTCTGTGACCCAGCTGACCAATGCCCCACAAGGAGGCCTGGCTGAATTCAACCCTTTCTCAGAGGTTGGTGGGCATGCCCTCTTTCTGAGTCCCTGGGTCCTCTGGGTAGTGCTGGCGTCTCTGGGTAGGGAGACTTGGCAGAGACAGAGAAGTTCTGTTCCTCAAAGAGACAGACCTAATGTGAACTCAGGGGGGTGGGGTACGGAAGAGGAACCCATTCATTCTCCCCTTAGGATCCATGATCTGGGCCCCTCCTGGAAGAGGAGGGCCGGGCAGTGTTGGGATGGTCTGGATCCAGGGTTCAGGGTTAGGCCTCACATTGCCCAGAACCTGAGGCTTGTTGGCCACGAAGCTGCAGAGGCAGGCCCAGAGCAGGCCCAGAGGGAGCGCCCCTCCCAGGCAAGGGCGCATCCCTCACTCGACGGTGGGTCTGTCCCCACGAGACCGACTGGGGGAGGCCCACTCACCTCCCTGCTTCTCTCTGCCTGACGCAGACAAATGCAGCGACGACGGTTCCTGTCACACAGATGCCCGGGCCCTCGCAGCCGGCAGTTCTCCAACCCTCAGTGGAGCCCACCCAGCCAACCCCCCAGGTACCGTTGACAGGATCCCTTTGGCCTCTCCTTTCCAGAAAGGGACACACCCAGACGGATAGCTGAGCCCTGAGATTGAGGAGGGGGCAGAGGGCTTTCATCCTGGGCTCCCCTTCTAGGGCCCTCTGGGTCATCTCTTGGGAGCTGGTCACTTGTGGGTGGAGGGTCTGCTCTACCAGCCTGCATCCTCTCCCCCGACCCCATGACCACCACCCAAAATAAGCTCTACTTACCAGGCTTCTTGGTGGCAGGAAGAGCATTTACCCCTATTGTGTCCTTCCAGATCCTCCTTGGGCCTTTGGTTTGTTCTCTCTCCCCTAGGACCCAGCATCTCTCTTGCCCTCGCTCTCCCTTTATTTTTTAACCCTCATTTATTCCTGCCCGCCTCCCTGTTTTCCTCTGTCCCTCCACCAGTACTCTGAGCCTCGCGTGCTTATATGCCCGACACTCCCCTCCATGCCTCCCAGCTCCACCCTGTGCTCCTCGTGGCCCCCTGGTGAGCATGGCCCACAGTGGAGTTGTGTGTTGCAGCTCCTGCTTAGACAGGCCAGCAGGTTCCTGCCTACCAGATTCGTGGCAGTGAGCGAACTCTCAGAGAGGCAGATGCTGCTAGGAGGAGATAGTATTCTCAGAGACAGCTACCTGCGAAACCTGCCGAAGGTAGGCGAAGAGTAGGTGAGCACGAGGGAGGGCAAGGTACCCGGAGCCCACCCGAGCTGGGCTGTGGGCACCAGTGGGCCCCAGGCTGCTCCTGTCATCTGACTGGACTTCCTCCGAGCGTGCAGCCCCTGCCCGGGCCCGTGGGCCCCACGCCTGGCCCTAGAGCCCTGTGGAGGTGAGGTGAGACTTAGAGGCCGGTGTGACTTCTATCCAGCTGGGTAGTAGGCTATAGAGACCTGGGCCTACTCAACTGAAGTTGCAGACTTGGGGAGAGGAGGCTGAGACCCCAGTGTGGCCTAGTGTAGTCAATTCTGGTCCTGCTTCTGCCCCCACTGCCTGAAATTTACCTCCTGGGGCTTGCCTGGTGGTCCAGTGGTTAAGACTCCACAGTTCCACTGTAGGAGGCATGGGTTCAATCCCTGGCCAGGGAACCAAGACTCCCCCCGCACCGACCCCCATGTCCCCCACCGCCAAAAAAAAAAAAAAAAACTTACCTCCTGAAGGCAGCTTTAACTCTTTGGAGAACTCCTTTTAGAGAGAGAGGGAGAAGGTGTGTGGGTGTTGCATGTGTTCACATGTGCATGCACAGATATGCCTCCCTTGTTATTCCATGAGATGACCAGTTTGATACCTGTAACCTAAAGAGGACTGTAGACTTCAGGAGGAACGAGGTTCCAACAAGGAGAGCAGGGCCCTAGGCTGGAACACCACGCCCAAGCCCAGCTCTGTTCAGCCTCATGTATAGTCTCCTAGCGCCTTCCCTGCTCTGCCTGGAGAGGGATAGAGCTTGGACTCTGCACGTCATGAAAACAAGGCCAAGCACAGCCAAGCCTAAAGGGCTGCTGGGTTGTACTGGGTCACAGTTCAGTTGTACCTCTGGGCAGCTCCTGGGTGGGAGGGGAGTGCTTAAATATAGATCCCCGAGGCTCTGGGTGCACAAGGCTGCCCTCGAGTATCTCCCTTTCTCTGTCACTGCTGACAGGTCTGCACTGTTTCCCCTTCACACACACACACACACACGCATACGCACGCACACTCCATGTTCACATGAGGCTTGAGTCTCTGGCTTTCTGGCTATAGGTTGGTCTCTTCTGAGGTCTTTTTCCCTTTGCTGTTACCTCAAAAGTCACTTTGAACTTTGCCTGACTCCAATATGGGGATAGTTCGCATCTCTCTCAAGCTGAGGGATGCAAGGGAGAGGAGAGCCCTGGTGATGGCTAAGGGGCCAGAGGTGGTGTGGAGGTGGAAGGGGGCGGGTCACCTTGGCCTCTCTATGGTGGTTTTGGGTACCCACGACACACTGGGCCTGGGACCGCCTCTGAGCCCTCCTCCCTGCGTGGGCAAGGCCTCTCTGCCTTCAGCTCAGACTGCCACTGTCTCACTGTCCTTCGTGTCCGGCTGCCCTCCACCTCCTCTGCACCCTCCAGGTTGTGGCCTCTGCAGCCCAGGCAAGCCTGCTCCGGCAGCAGGAGGAACTAGACAGGAAAGCGGCTGAGCTGGAACGGAAGGAGCGGGAGCTTCAGAACACAGTGGCCAACTTACACGGTAGGGAGGCCGTGCTGCCCGGCTTAGGACTCATGGCCTTGGTCCCAGGATTCCTTCCCCATGATGATGCCCCCTTGTGCTTATGGCCTGGTTGTTAATAAAAGTAATCACTTAGGCCGTCGGGCTCTGTGTTTCCCAGGGCACTTGGGGTCCATTGTATCGGCGTGAGCTCAGGGGTGTTTGGTCCCGTCACCCTGTCCCCATCCCACTCCGTATCCACACACCCCGAGCCCCGTCTGCTGGCACCCCTGGGAGCCCTGCTCTGGCCCGTGGACCAGGCCAGCACGTGTACCCCGCCACGCTGCTGCTAAGGCCAGGCTCACCCCCTCCCCTCTTCCCGCACAGTGAGAGAGAACAACTGGCCGCCCCTGCCTGTCTGGTGCCCTGTCAAGCCCTGCTTCTATCAGGACTTCTCCACAGAGATCCCTGCCGACTACCAGCGGATATGCAAGATGCTCTACTATCTCTGGATGTGTGAGTCTTGCTTCTGCCCCTTCGAGCCCAGGGCGAAGCGGGCTGTGACTCGAGCGTGCTGGCTCTGCTCTGGTTGCTCCTTCTGGCAGGTTCCAGCCTCTGTCTGGGCTGGACTGGGCTGGGGGGGTGCCTTCTGCCCACATAACTGGCCCCCCACATAACCTCCCCACAAGGGCCAGTCCAGACTCCATATCAGGTAGGGTGAGACCAACCGGAGGTTTCAGAGTTCCTACAGAGCTCCCTGCACTGAACAACCCTCCTTAGGGGAAGGCCTCTCCTCCCCATGGTCCCCTCGGCTCCTAGGAATGAGGAGTAAGGAGAGAAAACTTCTTGTAGCTCCGCTGGGAGCTGTCCACAAGCAGGAAAAAGCCTGCTGCAAGACTCATTGCCCAAGAGCTCAGCCCTTGTATCTGTATCTGCCCCCCCACTGCCGCTCCTCAGATACCTGGGCTGTCCCTTCTTCTCTTAGGAACTTGGTTTGTTCCCTGGTTTTAAGGTCTCAGAACACCCTGCCTGTGTACAGACCAAGGTCCTCGAGTATTTCTGCAGCTGCTCTCACAGCGTGCACCTCACTTCCTCTTCAGGGGATGGTTTGCCTTGGTGGGGAAGCCTTCGGTCACCTTGGCACAAGCCTCTCTCTCTCCCCGCTCTCCTTCCCCAGTGCATTCAGTGACTCTGTTTCTGAACCTGCTTGCCTGCCTGGCCTGGTTCTTAGTCGACACCTCCAGGGGAGTAGACTTCGGCCTCTCCATCCTGTGGTTTGTGATCTTCACCCCCTGTGCCTTCCTTTGTTGGTATCGACCCATCTATAAGGCTTTCAGGTGAGTGGCGCTGGGCAGGGGTGAGTATGTGGCTGGCATCGGGTAGCAGGCCAAAGCCCATCAGCCCTGGGGCCCCCTCCCAATCTTAGAGCAGAATGGAATGGTGGGGAAATTCACTTTCCCATCCCTACCCTTAGCGAGAGCGGGCAGGGATCAGCAGCTGCTTTCTCCTCTGTTGTACCAGAGGTCTGCTCTCGGCCCTGTCCTTGGTCCAGGCTCAGGTGACCCGGAGAGGAAATCAAGAGCCTTTCTTGCTTTCCCCCTCCTCCCAGTCTGTCTGGTTCAGTGGGATTTTAGTCCCTGGGGAGAGGCTGTGTGTCTCTGATAGCCAGGCAGAATGATAAGAGTCAGATAAGCTCTCAATGGCTTTACCCTCATTGCTCATGTCTGCCCCTCCCCCCACCTCCCCAGTAACCCTTGAGCCTGGATGAGTGCCAGTATTTGACCAGTGGCCCTAGGGTCAGTACTGTGGACATGAATGAATCCACCTCACAGACCCCTAGGACTTTTGGAATTGAGTTGATGCTCAACTCCTAGTCAAGCCCAGCAGGGAGTGAGGAGAGAAGGGAGGAGAGACAGGAAGCCCAGCAGGTCCTGGGAAAGAGGGGGCGGAGCAGTGGCCAAACCCTCGCATGTACTCAGCAGGCGAAACCTGCACCCTCACTGTATTCTAGCCCTCCAGGGCGAGTTGGAAGTTCTCAGAACACCAGTTTTATCTGGTGTTCCCTACTCCCTAGATGTCTTTTCTTCTGCCCAGGCCTACAGATTGATTCTTAAAGTTTTATTATCTTTATAACAGGCTTAGATTTTCTTACCTGTTATGAAATGGAGATAACTTCAGAAAATGGACTGTTAGGTTTTTTACATTGTCCTTGGGGTGAGCAACTTTATTTATAAGCTCTTTAAGCAGTCAAGCGTTGACCCCTTAAATTGGAAGGCAGCGGAAGGCAAGCCCTTTTTGATTATGGGGGTGTCTGTGTGTCCCTGTCCTTATGGACAGTGTGGCTGACCCCTGGAGTTCTGTCTACTCACACCCTCCGTCCTGGCTCCTAGCGAGGAAGGTGTCCTGGCAGGTGAGAAGGCTGAGGACTGAGCCCGAAGCCCTTATGTGACTTCTCATTTCCCGCTCTCTCCACAGGTCTGACAACTCTTTCAGCTTCTTCGTGTTCTTCTTTGTATTTTTCTGTCAAATAGGGATCTACATCATCCAGTTGATTGGCATCCCTAGCCTGGGGGACAGGTAAGACATGGGGCAGCACAGAGGGGCTTAGGCCCTGTTCCCCTGCTCCCAGAAAGGCCTCACTGATGACCCATCTTCCACCATGGCTAGGAGAGGGGTGGTGGGTCAGCTGGGGAATGCCTCCTTCCACTTCTTCCCTGGTAGCCACTCACCGTTTTGCCTTGCTCACCCCTTTCCGGAGTGTCGTGGATGGAGTTGGCCTGAATCCTTAGGCTCCCAGGGCTGTGCCCTGCAGTGCAGGGCCCACTTGTCCTTTTCTCCTGCCATGCCCTCCTAGAGCCTGTGGCTGCTCCCACAGGCCCCGGACAAGCCCCGAGGCTTGGGCAGCTGCCAATGGATGTCCTGGCCTCTACAAACTGTGAGCTGTGAATTTTTCTGGAGGCCCTGTAACCTCAGGAGGTGGAGCCCTCGCCCCTCGTGAATTGGCTCCTTCGGGCTGCTCTCCTTGAGCATCCAGCTGGCTTGAGAGTCCTGGCCGCTGCCGTTCTCAGCTCAGAATTAGTCTCAAAAAGAAAAGCTGATGGCTGATGTTTTCCTTTCTGCTCCAGTGCACAGGGAACATTGCAGAAAGGTCAGGCTGGCACTTGGCTGAGAGCCTGAGCCTGGAAGGGCTGCTCTATTTTGGTCCCCGCCCTGCAGTGGAGCTGGCGAGTCCAGAGTGGCGGCGAGGGGTGACTCACCTCACACTCACGGCCAGTGCATGCTGCCTTCCTCCTCCCCTCTGCCTTCTTGCCTTGCTATTTCTAATCTGGCCCTTTTCTCTTTGACTGGTGACCCAGTTTCATTACTCATTACCCTCAGTGAGATCCTGCTAAAAGACTGTGATTAATAACTGCTGCTTACACCCTGGACTGGGAGCCAGAAGGCTTGAGTTCTGGTCCTGCTCCGCCCCTCACTGCCCTGCCTGGGTCTGCCTGGCTGAGCTCGGAGGCCTCCTCCAAGCCTCCTCCCGGCTTGGAGGGAGGGACACCTCCTCCCGGTGTCTTTCTCCTCTCACCTCAGAACACCCATGATTAGGTGGACGTCCTCCCGCCTCCCTTTTTTGTTACTGATTATAAAATACACATAACATAAAATCTGTCATTTTGTTTACCACTTAAACCACTTTCTATAATTCAGTGGCATTTAGTTCATTCACAGTGTCCTGCAGACATCAGCACTGTCTAATTCTGTATCACACTGTGACATTTGTATCACACTATAAGGAAACCCCATGCCCATTAAGTAGTCACTCTTCATTCCCTCATTCACTGAGCCCCCAGCAACCAGTAAACTGTTTCTGCCTCTCTGGATTTGCCTATTCTGGACGTTTCATTTTAATGGAATCATATGTGGCTTTAAAAAAATTTATTTATTTTTGACTGTGCTGGGTCTTCATTGCTGCGTGGGCGTTTCTCTAGTTGCAGCATGTATGGGCTTCTCATTGCAGTGGCTTCTCTTGTTGCAGAGCATGGGCTCTAGGACACACAGGCTTCAGTAGATGTGGCACCTGGACTCTAGAACACAGGCTCAGTAGTTGTGGCGCACATGGGCTTAGTTGCTCCTTAGCATGTGGAATCTTCTTGGACCAGGGATTGAACCTGCGTCCCCTGCATTGGCAGGCAGATTCTTTACCACTGAGCCTAACATTTGGCTTTTGGTGCCTGACTTCTTTCACATAGCATCATATTTTCAAGGTTCATGTTAGTATTTCATTACATTTTATGACTAAATAATAGTCCATAGTTCTTGGAGATACTCCTGATAATATCAGGATTATCACTCCTGATAATATCATTTGATGAACAAAGGTTCTTAATTATAATGAGATCTAATAGTTTTAGTTCTTACTGTTAGGTTTGAGTTAGCTTTTCTATATGGTGGAAGTAGGGTGCACCCTCGTTATTTTGGTTTTTTTTTCTTTTAATTTTTTTAATGTATTTTTAATTGGAGGATAATTGCTCCACAATATTGTGTTGGTCACCTTCATTGTTTTGTATATGGATATCTAGCTGTCCTGCACCATTTGTTGAAGAGGCCATTCTTCAACATTCAGTGGTTTTGGCACACTTGCCTAAAATCAGTTGATGATAAATATATAGATTTGTTTCTGGACTCTCAATTCTGTTCCATTGATCTATAATATATGTCTATCCTGATGCCAGTACCATACTGTTTTGATAGCTGTAGCTTTGTATTAAGTTTTAAAATCAGAAAATGTGAGGATGTCCCCTTTGTAGATGAGAAACATTGGGGCTCAGGAAGGAGATGTGACTGGCTGGAGGCAGTGGGACTGTCCCTGGGCTGCAGGGTGGGGAGCTGAGGTGAGAAAGATGAATGAAGTGGGTTGGCCAGTGACCCTCCTTCCCAGAGGGAGGGCCCTCCGCAGTGAGCAGCCCTAGGCTTTCCATGTCCCCCTAAAGGGCTCTACCCAGTGTTACTCCTAACAGTGAAAACAGCAGCCACATCCTCCCTTCCAGGCCTCACATGGCCCATAGATTCCCTATGGGCATTCTGGGGCCTGGTGGCCTTTATGAGGCCTGGCCTCACAGGCCAGGGTTTTGGCCCACAGGGCCCTGTGCTGCCCAGAGATGCCTGGGTGGTGTCCAGCACACAGTGGCCACTGGAGAAGAGCCCCTCACAGGGAGCTCTGGGGCCCAGTTGCACTGTGCTCCCCCCGGCCTCCTCCCCCTTTGCAGTGGTTGGATTGCAGCCATGTCTACGATGAAGCACGACTTGGCGGTGTCGATCATCATGATGGTGGTGGCTGGCTTCTTCACCCTCTGTGCTGTGCTCTCACTCTTCCTCCTGAAGCGGGTGAGTGGTGGGTGCTGCGCCAGCTGCAAAACCCAAGGAAGCCCCAGCCCCTGGGGTGGGCACCTCTCTCCTGCCTTCTCCATGGGGGATGTTCATCACTACAGCAGTTGTGTCTCCTGGGTCCTCAGAGCTCCAGCGGCTCCTCCAAGGCTCTGGGTGGGAGGGCAGACAGGCTGGGGCTCGTAGTGGCTGCCTCGGGCCCATGTGCTGGTGGCCCCCAGGCGGGTGGACTTTGCTCACCACAGCCTCTTTTTGCAGGTGCACTCCTTGTACCGCAGGACAGGAGCCAGCTTCCAGCAGGCCCAGGAGGAGTTTTCCCAAGGCATCTTCAGTAACCGGACCTTCCGCAACGCCGCCTCATCTGCTGCCCAAGGAGCGTTCCAGGGGAATTAGTCCTCCTGACTCTCCTCCCTCTGCCCTGGCCTTCTCTCTCACCTGCCTTCTGAGCTGCACTTTCCATGGGTGCCTTAAGCATTGGTTATGCCCAGCACAGACTTGGGGAGGGTCTTGCCTGTGGCTCTTCTTCCTCCCTCAGCAACCAGCTCTCCCTTCCACCTGAGGAAAGGGAAGGGAGGGACAGGGACTTTTTTTTACACAAGAGAAAAAAAAAAAAAAAGCTGTCTTTTCTTCTCTGGTGGTGGTTTGATAGGATTTTTTTGGTCTCTTTGGAAGCACTGGGACTGAAGTTCTTATCTTCCCGTACACAGATAACACACATGGACTCACACATACACACACAAACACACATACTTGGGATCACTGGCTGTCCTGGGCCCAGCCACCCGGGGTTTAACTTCTGCTGGAGTCCTGAGATTCCATTCCTCCCCAGCAGGCCTGACCAGAATCTGGCTTCATAGACCCAGCCTGTGGCTTCCACAGTCCTGCCCTTCCCTCCTGCTCAGACTCTGGGAGCCTCTTAAGGGGGCTCCCCTTTAGATGAGCTGCAGTCTGGGTTCTGTTCCTCAGATCACTCTAGGGTGAACTCTAGGCTTCCAGCCTCTGACCTGCTTCATGTTTCTAATGAACAGTTTCCTAGCCCTTTAGGCCCCCTGCATCCTCCCAGTGTGGGCAGTACGTGGTGCCCTCTGGGGCTCTTCTTAAGCCCTTCCCTCTTTAGACTTACTGAATGTGCAATGGGGTTGGTTGGGATTTGGGGATGGAGAGGGATAGAGGACACTGACCTGAAGTTGTCTTGCCCAGCCTTTGGCAGTCTTGTTTTAGGGTGGGTTTGATTATTTAGGTGTGGTTTGTTTGGCCCTGTTTGTTTTCATTTCCTCTCTTTCTGAGGGACAGCTGCCTTTTGGCTTGGCCTCAAACTCTTGCCCATCCCTGCCCCCCACCATCAGCAGTATCCAGCTTGTATGACTCTTAGGGAGGGCAAGGGGAATGAGTTCAGAACTTCATTCTTCAGGCCACCTTTTTGAGGGTTCCAGACTAATCCCCCAGGGTTCTCCCATACTCCCCAAGTAGAGTCTAGGTCACCTTCCACTAGTCCTGGGGATTCCCCAGGAGTTGTGTCACTCTGATGGGTGCTTAGGAGTTCAAGGTTGAAACCTGTATCCTGTCCTCCAGAAATGGAGTGGGTGGGTAGACTGCAGGGAGTCCAACCCAGGGCATCTGGGGCCTAGCCTGAGGCAGCCCTGAGGCTGCCAGCTGACACCGCCCCAGAGCCACTCAGTGATGATGGCAGTGACCAAGGTTTTGTAAACTCCTTTCTGGTATTTTTTGTCTCCATGTACAAATGTATATGTTATGTCTCAATTTTGTCCTTAAATAAAAACAAAAGACATTTTCAGACAATACTGGTGCTGATGTCTGTTGTACTTGGACAGTTGGGAGTCACCCACAGGGTAGATAGGGGCTGAGGCAGGCCAGCCGGAGGCGAGAAGAGACGGTGAAGATGCTGTGTCTGGTCACTCTGCTCCCTGGCCGGTCTGGGCAGGCTCAGTCCTCACCCCGGGGGTGAGCCCCTGACTGAGATTGCTTGTCCTCTTCCATGGTACTTTCTTGTTCCGGTACTTCCACATTCACAGTTGCTGGTCTTCGAGGAGAGGGGCCTCTTTGAACACACCCTATCCCCGTCTTAGACGGGGCTTCTCTCTCCTACCCCATTCACGTGGGCGATCTAATAAGATGCTGTCCAGCCTGCGTGGGATTTCCCGGTAACCTCGTCCGCTGGCCTCTGCTAACTCCCGTTAGGCCCGCGAGGACCTGAGTATCTTCAAATGGATCTTGCGGGTACTGGCGGATCATCTGATCTCCTGTGCAGGTGAAGGCGGAGGTTCCCAAGAGCCGCACCTGGAGCACCTGGAGGGGCGGGGCGCGCGACAGCGCCCCGCCTGCCTCGCTGCACTTCCGGCGGGCGCCGCTCGGGGCAGTGTGGAGTCCGGTCTTCCCGCCGCGCGCGCGCTCACCTCTCCTGGCCGGAACCCCGGCTCCGGGAACCAGGAAGAGCCCGGGCGCGGGCGCGGGCTGTCGGGATGGCGGGGTCCGGCTGGGGCCCCCCGCGGTTAGACGGCTTCATTCTCACCGAGCGCCTGGGCAGTGGCACATATGCTACGGTGTACAAGGCCTACGCCAAGGTGGGTGCGGGGCGCCTCGGGGCTTCTGTGCAAGGCAGCAGTCGGGGGCTCGAGAACTTCTGAGGTTCTGGCCCCGGTGCCCGCCAGACGCCGAGCAAGCCCAGGCCGGGAAACGGGGAGAGGTTGAGACGGTTGACCCTAAGAGGTTGAGCTTAGGGTCCACGGCCTGGCCTGTGCCAGGTCGACCTTCTGTGGAGCAGGTGTGCGGTGACCCCCATAGATAGTTCTTCAAAACAAATACACACCGCTGTTGTTCGGAGAAACGAGTGAAGACCTCGGAGCCTCGGCGTCAGTGGCTGAAGAATAGGCTCCAAACAGGGAGGATACCTGTGGGCTGGGAGGAGCCTGGGGCAGGGTTCTAGAAGGCTGGACCCACTTAGGAAGCAGAGTGGGCAGTTTAGAACAGTGAATAACATGCCTTAGCAGGGGCACTCTAGAATACAATGAAAGGGATTGTGAAGCAGAGAGGCTAGTGTGGAAGCCAGGATTCCAGAATCTTGGTGCCTTATTGGCCTGAGAAAGGGCAGCTGGGCAACCTGGGTGCTGGTGTGAGTGGGTAGGCCCAGAGAGGAGGAGCAGGGCAGAGGGGACCAGACCCCTTCTGGCCATGCATGGTTCCTGGCCCTCTCAAGGCAGAGCCCTTGAATCTCCTGTCCCCACAGAAGGATACTCGGGAGGTGGTAGCCATAAAGTGTGTGGCCAAGAAGAGTCTGAACAAGGCATCCGTGGAAAACCTCCTGACAGAGATTGAGATCCTCAAGGGCATTCGACACCCCCACATTGTACAGCTGAAAGACTTCCAGGTGTGGGCTTGGGATGGGGTGACCACCAAAGGGGGCTGAGAAGGGCCACTCTCTTCAAGCCTCCTCTCTGCCTCTAACCCCAGTGGGACAGTGACAACATCTACCTCATCATGGAGTTCTGCGCAGGAGGTGACCTGTCTCGCTTCATCCACACCCGCAGGATTCTGCCTGAGAAGGTGGCTCGGGTCTTCATGCAGCAGTTGGGTAAAAGCTTCTGACCCCAGCCTGACGCCCCTTCCCATGATCTCTGCTCTCCCACCCCGCCCTTGCCCCAGGCTTAGAGCTGTGACACCCTTAGCAGTTGCCTGCCATCCCAGCTTGGATTTGTCGGGCCCATCCTTTGTTTTGCCCATCCCTGGTTAAGGATGCTGTGAGAGAGATGGAGAGGAGTCCCATCTGTGGGGAATACAAGCTTCCACACGTGAAACATATTCAGTAACATAAAGACCTCGTGGAACATTCCGAAGACCCAAGTGTTTTGCCAAGGAAAAGAGCAAGGGCCTAAAGGGCTGGAGCATCTAGGGAGGCTTCTAGGAGGAGGGGAGACTTGTGAAGGGGTACAAGGGAGGAAGGAGGTCATTCGAGGTGGGGGTAGGGCAGTCTTAGCAGAGAGGGGAGCCTGGTGCTTATATGTAAAGCATTTGGTAGGGACTTTGCTGGTGGTTCAGTGGTTAGATCAGACTCTGCATTCCCAACGCAGGGGCCCATATTCAACCCCTGGTCAGAGAGCTAGATCCCACATGCCACAGCTGAGATGCAGCACAGGCCAAAAAAAAAAAAAAAAAAAAAAGCATTTGGTAGACCAGGCCAGAACTGGGGTTGGGCAGGCAGGCAGGTAAGAGAAGGGATGGGAGAGATAGGTTTCTCTGACCTGTCACTCTGCATGGTTCCTACTGCCTAGCCAGTGCCCTGCAGTTCTTACATGAACGGAACATCTCTCACCTGGACCTGAAGCCACAGAACATTCTGCTGAGCTCCCTGGAGAAGCCCCACCTTAAACTGGCAGGTGTGAGTCTGGAACGGAAGGTGTGGAGGTTTGGACAGTGGGTGTGCAGAGGCCACCTTCTGCCTGAGCTCGCTCAGCAGCCCTGGTTGTCATGGAGCCCTCTATTGAGTCATCAGACAGTGACAGGCTGGGATGTCCAGGGACCGGCCCCGTCACCAAAAGATAGGGCCTTTCTCAGGCTACCTGTGCTTGACGCCAGTGATGTGATATCCTGGTTGGGGTCAGGGTTCAAAGTGTGACCAGACTTAGTTTTTTATCCATCACCAAACTGTGACTCAGTCTGGGGCAGTATTGGAAAGTGTGGAATGGGGAAAGGGGTAGTTGTGGCCCCTGATAAAATTTGGAGGAGAACTGACTTGAAGTTGGAGGCCAGAGAGGTCCACGGAGCTGGGTAGGACAGTGAGGGAGAGGTCAACCCCTAGTGAGCCCTTATCCTCATTGCTGGTGTGATCAGGGTGGGCTTCCTGGGAAGAGGTGTGCAGGGGGGCTGTGCGGGACGGGTAGAATATATGCCCTCAAAGAGGTAGAAGGGTTTGCGGTGAGAGAGACGACATGAGCAAAGTAGGGAAGTGGGGTTAATCCTGGTGAGTCTAGAGGATGGGAGGAGCCCTGCCCTGGAGCCCAAGGGGGAGGCTGTAAAGCAGGAGCAGAAACTGAGCCCTGCTGCCTGGCCTCTTGCCTGCAGACTTTGGCTTTGCACAGCACATGTCCCCCCGGGATGAGAAGCACGTGCTTCGTGGCTCCCCTCTCTACATGGCTCCCGAGATGGTGTGTCAGCGGCAGTACGATGCTCGTGTAGACCTCTGGTCTGTGGGGGTCATCCTGTATGGTGAGAGCTCTGTCCCCTGCCCCCACGTGGAGGTCTGCACTGTGTCTCCTCAGGCAGAGCATCACTGGGCCACTCCTGAAGGGTTTTAATGAGAACCCTGACTCTCCTGGTCTGGGGCCCTTCTCCAGGAGTGGGCCAGGCCCAGCTTGACCCTATCCCCTCCCAGCCTGCCCTCTGCCTCCCTTCCACAGAAGCCCTCTTCGGGCAGCCCCCCTTTGCCTCCAGGTCGTTCTCAGAGCTGGAAGAGAAGATCCGGAGCAACCGGGTTATTGAGGTAGGTCTGGTAGGGCCTTCGAAACTGTGAGGGGCAGCGGGAGTCAGGGCCCTGAGGTGGCAGAACTCACTGCCACCTGCAGACTGGAGTGTGGGCTCCAGGCCACCACTGTGGAGCTGGGCACGCTCTAGCCCGAAAGTTGGCTCCATTCAGTCCCGGGAACCCAGATCAACCATAGTGGGGAGCAAAAGGCCTGCCCTACAGCCTGTTACAGGTTCTCCATGGGGAGAAGGGCTTCCCAGGTGGCTCAGTGGTAAAGAATCTGCCTGCCAATGCAGGAGATGCATGTTCATCCCTGTGTTGGGAAGATCCCCTGGAGGAGGAAATGGCAACCCACTCCAGTATTCTTGGCTGGCGAATCCCATGAACAGAGGAGCCTAGCAGGCTACATCCATAGAACCCCAAAGACAGGAGCCTGGGGAGGAGACTTGGCTCTCACTGGCTGTCACACTCTGACCTGTCACTCTTCCTCCTCGTCTCATATTCTCAATCTGTCAGATGTGTGTCTTGGGGGGCCCCCAGGACAGGGTGGTCCTGACAGGCCCCTGGGTCTGGGGGCCAGGGTGCCAGAGCCCAGTGTGATCTGTTCCATCCCCACCCCCACAGCTCCCCCTGCGGCCCCAACTCTCCCAGGACTGCCGAGATCTGCTGCAGCGGCTTCTGGAGCGGGACCCCAGCCGCCGCATCTCCTTCCAGGACTTCTTCGCCCACCCTTGGGTGGACCTGGAGCACATGCCCAGTGGGGAGAGCCTGGCACGAGCAGTGAGCAGCCAGTGGAGACGGGTGGGCTAAGGGCAGGTGGGGGGTTTCATTGATCCCTTTCAGTGGGGCCCAGGTGACCTGCCCAGCAGGAGGCAGAGGGTGGGTTCAGGGTATGGATGACCCCTCGCAGTGAGCGTGGGGGGTGGGCATGACTCCCGATCTGCCCTCCCGCAGACCGCTCTGGTGGTGCAGGCTGTGAAGAAGGACCAGGAGGGGGACGCTGCAGCTGCTTTGTCTCTCTACTGCAAGGCCCTCGACTACTTCGTGCCCGCCCTGCATTGTGAGTCCCAGGCGGGTGCGGCAGGGCGGGGCCAGCCACAGCTATAGTGGCTGACTTCCAGAAGCAGCTCCCCTTCCAGAATTTTGTGGGAGACAAGACAGTGGGGAAATCTGGAACTCAGTGCTTTGGGGGATTCCAGAGGGGTTGGTGTGAGGCTTCAGAGACCTCATTTAAACCCCCACTTTCTGCAGATGAAGTGGACGCCCAGCGGAAGAAGGCAATTAAAGTGAAGGTGATCAGAGTCCCCTGAGGACATGGGGAGGGGTCTCAGGGCCTCTGGGGGTTGGCTCTCGTAGAGGAACCTCCCTCCCTGGGAAGGGGTTCAGCCCAGCCTCAATTGGCCCCTGACGTTGCAGTTTGGGGCAATCACTGAGGACCCAGAGGGAGAACCTGGAGCTGGGTGCTGGTGAGGGAGGGAGTGGGGGACAGCCCTTCCTCAGCCCCTTGCCCTCCAGCAGGTAGGTGAGTACGTGTCCCGGGCTGAGGAGCTCAAGGCCATCATCTCCAGTCAGGCCCTGTTGAGGCAGGGGACCTCTGCCCGAGACCTGCTCAGAGGTAGGCCCCAACCCCAGCTGACCACCAGTTCGCCAGCCACTTCCCTCCAGCCCAAGGGGGAGAGAGGTGGAGGTAGGCGTCCTGAGGTGAGAAAGCAGACTGCTCCTCTCACAGTGCACCTTTGCCCCTCATCCCAGAGATGGCCCGGGACAAGCCACGCCTCCTGGCTGCCCTGGAAGTGGCTTCGGCTGCCATGGCCAAGGTTTGGAGCTGCCGGGAAGGGTCTGGGGGGGCAGGAGGAATCCAAGTCATGCCCCTAGACGACCTGGTGTTCATGTGGCTGCAGGAGGAAGAGGCTGGCGGGGAGCAGGACGCGCTGGCCCTGTACCAGCGCAGTCTGGGGGAGCTGCTGCTGCTGCTGGCAGGTGAGGCCCCAGCCCCACCCTCCCCACCTGCCCCCGGCCACCCCGCCCTTACCACGTGCCCTCCCTCTCTCTGCAGCGGAGCCCCCAGGCCGGAGGCGGGAGCTGCTTCACACTGAGGTGCCCACTGGGGTTGGGAGGGTCAGTGGGAGTGGGGGGGTGGGGTTCCTCTTCCCCGTTTGCCCTGTTTCCATGTGTGGGGACCTCCTCGGGTTCCCTCAGGGTGCCCCAGGTCTGGGAGTCAGACCTCACAGACTTGCTAAGTTGGTGACCCCTGTGCACGTCATCAGGGTTCGGGTGCTTGGGTCAGGGCAGAGGGACAGGGCAGGGTCTGGGAACTGAGCAGCAGTCAGGAGGCTTCCTGGAGGAAGAGGCAGAGAAAGACTCAGGCAAGTTGTTCTCATGAGGCAGAGGGTCCCGGGGAGCATTAGGGGTGAGGAAGAGCTCAACTTGAAGGCCTCTCCTCACCCCATGTCCCTGGGCATGTCTTCCCTTGGCAGGTTCAGAATCTCATGGCTCGGGCTGAATACCTGAAGGAGCAGGTCAAGGTGGGCACGTGAGGACCCACACTGGGGCAAAGCTATGTGTGTGCTGTTCCTGTCTGCCTGTGGCTGTCTGTCCCCCGCTCCCTGCACTGTGTGTCTCCCTCTCGTTCCTGTCTCCAGGCCTCTCCATCGCAGTCTGTCCTTTATGTTCTGCAGATGAAAGAGTCTCACTGGGAAGCCGAGACCCTGGACAAAGAGGGGCTGTCGGAGTCTGTTCGTAGCTGTGAGTCCTGCCCTGGGGTCTGCCCCTTCACCCGAGGAGGGATGAAGACTGGGGCAGCGCTGGATTCTGCCTCTTTTGCCGGAGCCCCAAGACTGACACTCCCCACTTGCCCTCCACAGCTTGTACTCTGCAGTGACGCTGAAGGATGATCGGACAGGTCACTGGGAACTGGGGATGCACTCACCCCAGCTGGCCCCCAGAGTTCTGTGGCGCTCAGCAACACTATGGAGCAGGCTTTCTGGATGGGCAATTCTGGGACCACCCCCCCATACCACAGGATCCCCAGCAACCCTTGGGAGACTCTGAACTCCCTAGAGAGTCTAAGAGCCCACGGTGTGTGCCGGGAGCACGGGACCGTGGCCTGGGGTGGGGAGAACTCTGGGAGAAGTGTGTTTCTGTCACGTGACTTTTGTTGTTTCCTGGTTGCTGGGCGCTGAGCCTGTTGATTTCTGGTTTTGCTCTGAGATGAGGGCCAGGGTCCTCTGCAGTGCACTCCTGCTCTTTTCACTCTCTGCCAGCAGGCAGCTGTGCCCACCCCTGTCTTTCCTGGGAGCCTCACCTCCCTCTGTGCACTGGAACAGGGCACTCCAAGACCCCTCAGGGACCACCCATCCCACCATATGCACTCAGCCCTGCAGAACTCAACCAGTCTTCCTGGGAGCTGACCCCAGCGTACCCTCTCAATATTTTAAGATTATCCTTCATGCATGAAAATAATATCTTTGGTAGAGATGGGGCAAATTTGAGAAACCCATGCATTGTTCTTGCCCTGGTCAGGAGGGCACAAGGGGAGGGGTCCTCAATCCTCATCCCTCCCACCTTCATCTCTCTGAGGAATGCCTGTACTGACCACAGAGCTGGTCCAGTCCTGGGACGGGGAGGCATGTGGGCTGTCTGGCCTGTCAGGCTCCAGGGGAACCAGTGATCCAGGAGACCTGGTCCTGGGTCTGACATGGCTGCTCCGCCAGTGTGTGACCCCAGGCAAGCTCCTTCTCCTTTCCCAGCCTGGGTTCTCCACATCTCTCCAGTGGGACTATTACTCTCTCCTCAAGCCCCTATGTGGGCTTTGAGGAGAACAAAGTGTCTTTAACCTGGAAAGAATATATCTACCTGGAGTTATTTAGGCTTTTCTTTCCTAAACAATCAGAGAGGGTGTTAGTGGTTTCTAATCCTGTCCTTAAATGCCTCCTTGGGGCAAGAGTTGTCTGCCTTCCCTATAGGAAACTGGGTGTAAAGAATATAATTCATTGTTTTTCTATTAAATTATTTTCTGAATTTGTTCTTCTCTTCTTGCCCCGGGAAAAACAGGAGAGCCCCAGTTCACAGGCTGGGGCTAGAGGGGCCCCAGGAAAAGCTGGGTGGTCTGCAGGAGGCTGGGGGAGATCATAGGGTTGGGGGAGTGAAAGCCACATCTGCCCCCTGCCCTCGGGGAGCCCTGGGGGTCCGGGAGGGCCAGGCTGACTGGCCGTCAGTCCTCCTACCACCCAGGAGAGCAGTGGGGAGCTGCAAGCGCAGGCCTCCTCGGAACCAGGGAAGCCCTTCCTGTCTGCACGGGGAGGAGGGCCCGGTGGCAGGAGTGATTCTGTTAAACTTCTGTGCTGCACACAGCTCGTCCCAGACAGGGCCCGATCCCTCCACCCCTTCTCACCCTGGGCTAGTGAGCCGGATTAGGGAAAGGGCATCCTCTAGGGTGTCTTGTGCTCATGCTCAGCTCCCCGGGGCCCCCCAAGCTGGGATGGTTTCCAGCAGCCCTCCCTCCACCCTCTGGTGGGAGGAGGATCTTTGGGGATTTAGGGAGAGGGAGCTCACCCCCTTGGGCAGCCACAAGGCCCGAGTTCCCTTGATGCTCAGCCTTCCATGCAGACCTTAAAGGGCTAACTTCTCCAAAAGCCTAACCGTTGGGTGGCAGTGTGGAGCAGTGACCCGGAAGGCGGGAAGCAGAGCTAAAATCTGGCCTTGGGACCCATTGATTAGCCTGTTTCTCAGTAAAATGAGGATAAAGGTAAATGCCCCATGGGAATCTTCGAGGATTAAATGAGCCTGGCACACAGAATTCAAAAAATGTTATTTTCAGAGGAATGCATTCAGATTATTTCTGGGAGTGGGCTGGACAGAAAATCCTCTGAGTAAAATGAGAAGGAAGGAGGAGAATGAATGGATCCAGTTGGGTGGATAAATTGAGAGAAATGGATGGGAGGGAGAGTGGGAGTGAGGAAGGATGGGGTTTGTGAAAGACTAATCGAATAGAAGGATAATGTGATAAAAGTTTGGCCCCGGAGGCCCCAGTTTCTATTTGTGATGTCTGCATTGGCAATCTGAGAACAGTGGCCTGATACCATTCTACATGTGATTGTGGAGGGGAGTGGGCCCCCGTGGGGGCACTGGGTATAGGAAAGACCTGGGAGCCTGAGGCTGGTGGAGGAGGCCCTGGGGTAGGGCCCTCCCTGGGCAAGACGTGATGTGTCTAAGCCACCTCCAAGGAGGGAGGCAGCCCAGCCAGAGGAGGTGGGGCTCCCTAGGGCTTTCTTTAAATGACAGAGGCCTGTGGGAAATATGCTAATCTTAATAAGTTTTCTTCCCTAGGAGCTAGAGTTTCCATCTCTCACCTTTAGCACTTTGAGAGTGCCCAAGACAGGGCAAGCCACCTCTCCCTCCCAGCATCTGGGTGCTCACCCTGCCCCGTCCTCTCACCTCCACTAAGTCCCCCAAGCGCAGCCAGCATTGGGGCCTCTGTCTCCCAAGGGACCAGCCCTGAGAGAAGTGGATGGGCCTCTGGAGCAGATTGAGGGACCCAGGTGTCTCTGGGGCCAGCCTGCCTGCCTGACTGGGGATGAGGAAGGACACAGAACCTTGGTTCCTGAGGGAGGTCATTTAGAAGGGCTGTTGTCCTCAGAGGCCAGCTGCCATCCCAGCCGTCCCTGCAAGGGAGATGGCCCAACCCTGAGGCTGGGGTGTGAAAGAAGGGGGCACCTTCCCCGGAGTAACTCACACCCACACCTATACATTTGAAACCCTCCCCCCAACCCCACCACACACACACACAGATACTAACAGGCCACGGGCCACAGACACCTACAAAAACACTGAAACCCACGTACAAGCTCACATACCCACACAGACCCCACACAGACTTGCAGTCATGATCGGACAGACACAGGCGCAGTTCTTGTTGATTAGAGACAAGGCAGCCTCAGCGTTGCTGCTTCCCCAGACCCAGCCCAGCCTGGCTCCCTTGCTCTGAGCCTCACATGGATTCTGGGAACAGCGATGTCTGGCAGGCACCGGGTGGGAGGCAGGTCAGCAGGCTCCATGGTTCCCTCGCTCCCCTCATGTGTGGCTCCCCACCCCCAGCCCAGCCTCAGGAGTCAGCTGGGTCAGTAGGCACTGCCAGCAGCTCGGGCTCAGCAAACGGACATCCCCCAGATGTCCCGTTGCCTGCCCCTGCTGGGGCCTCCAGTGTTGGAGGAGGGACCATATGGCCACTGGGGGAAGGGAAGAGCCTCTCAACTCCAAACCCATCACCACCCTCTCCAGCTCCTCCCTGGAGATCCACTGGCCTCCAGAAAGTCACTTCTCTCTGTACCCCTCCTCCCTCTGGGAACCAGGCTTGGGCTGTCTGGAGTGGGGAAGGCAGAAGGGGACTTGAGCCCGGCAGGGGCCAGGGGTCGCCACTTATCTCCCTGAAGTCCCCTGTTTCTGGGGCCAGAGAACCTGAGGGTGGGAGTGAGAGGGGGCAGGCAGGCCATCTCTGTTGTCTTCCTCCTGAAAGAGTGAGAGGGGTTGGAGGGGCTGTCTCATCACCTGTCAACGTGTCCTGTGTCCTCAGATTGCCTGCAGGGTGAGAGGGAAGAAAGGAGAGAACAGGAGGGAGGGGCCGGGAGGAGAAAAATAAACTATGGTGGGACTTGCATCAGTCTGGAAAGGTTTGGTGGTAAGTGGCTTTGTGGCTCTCACATCACACTGGGAGGATGGGCTAATCATCAAGAAAGTGATGGTCTTAAGTGGGAGTAGAAGCAGGATGGGAGGATAGTGGCAGTCTAGTGGTGGACTGCAGGGCTGAGGGCTGAGAGTGGGTCAGATGCTGGGGGGACTGCAGCTCGGCCAGGTCAGCCTCACGTTGAGGGCGTAGGTGTTGGGTGGGTGTGAGCCAGGAAGGAGACCGAGGGTTAGAGATACAGATGAAGGGGCCATGGGCTGACAGGGAAGCCCAGAGAGCAGGGGAAGGAAGAGCAGGGTGGAGGGAGGCAAGCAGAGCCTGCGTGCCCCTCAGCCCGCCCTCCTTGCCTATCTCTGCCTGAGCCTTCACTGCCCGCTCCACCTCAATTCCAGGGACAGGCAGACAGGTCAGGGCCCCTCAAGGTTCTCAGGCTGTGAGCAAGGAGCCAGAGAGGGGGCTTGGCCCCCTCCCACTCCCTAACCCCAGGCCCCAGCCAGCCCATTTCGTGAGGGTTCAGTGAGTGCTCAGCCCCCGGCCTCCCCACGGCCCACATCCCTGCTCTTTCACTTTTGGTCCTGCAAACCACTGAGGGGAAAGGGTCTGTCCAGTCCCATTAGGCAGAAGGCCCCTGGAGGGCGGAGTGCTGACGTGGGCCTTGCTGCTGATGCTGCCGAGGTGGCTAATGCCCCACCCCCCACAACCTGGGGCCAGAACTTGGTCTCCTCCAGCTCCAGGAAGGTCAGCAGGGGTTTCTGTCCGATGACCACCTTGAGGGGCAGCCCAGGCCCCTTTCCCTAGGGTGTTCAAGTGAGAAGACCCAGCGTGACAGCTGAGCATCACTGCCCAGATCCTGGGCCTGCATCCCTCCCTGCGCCCACCATCCTAACTCATCGTCCTCTCTTCCTCTCCCACCTCTCCCTCCCCACATTACCTACTGCACAGGGTTTATGTTTCTTGTTCTTATTTTACAAAGAAGCCTAATGGAAGCTTTGCCCTTGAAACCAAACCCCGAGGTGGCTCTTCTGCCTGTAAATCTTGGCTGGCTTCTCTACAGTTTGGTGTCAAATGGGGGCACCAGGATCTGCCTGTAGCACCTTACTCCTCTCAGGCCTCTGAGATGGCCTGCTTGCGGAGCCTCCTGGTTGGTCTCCTGGATACCCCCCACCCCTGGAGCACACACGTAGGTGAGCAGGATGAGA